ACGCAGATCTTCCTACATACATAACCCCGGGGGGTATGCACGAGGGTTGAGTTTTGACGTTTCTGGACTGAGCTGGGTGTGCAGCATCCGCGAAATCTTGCATAAAATGTCAGATTCTGGCGTTTTTCTGTATTTATTCAGTCCAAAAAGCGTTGGCCTACCATTGCATTTGAACATAGTGCGCCAATTAGCGTTATTTTGTGGGGGAGTGGCTTCTGTAGAGCGTGTAGATGGAGGAGGCTTTTGAGGGATACATACATGTACCTGGTGCTCCTACTGTCACGTATGTAGTGTGGGCCTGGCTGGGAACGGGCTATGCTGTGTATGGCCCACTTGATGCAATCTAGAACCACAGCTGCATTTTAACTGGCCAACGGAGATTGCTCCAGGGCTTAATAATTGGGGAACACCTTGCCCTTAGTGACTCTCGCACAGTATGTACTACATACCCAAGCACTTATGGCTCTTGTCGCCTGTCAAATTCAAAAAGAGGTGCTGCTTGCTTCTTAACTTAACCCAATCTTTTTGCGAGTTGCCTTGGTTTTGCTTTCTCTCCCTGAAATGACACCCTTTGACCTACCAGTCCCGACGACAGTGTTGCGTTCAGAAGCCAGTATCCGCCCCCAGAAACGGCAGCGTGTCGAAGGCAAGTGTTACATACTTCAATTCAAATCCCCGTTTGCAGGCAGCATTGTACTGCAGCATGTAGATAGCCCAATTGAACCAGAGTCTGATTCTCGCATCTTCAGCAGCAGCAGACGGCTCCAGTAGTGCCGCCGGCGGAGGTCGTAAGAGCACGACCACATCGCCGCAGAGCACGAGTGTTATGCCCATGACGACCGCGGCGGGAATAACTGGAGGGGGGTCAACGACAACGCCGGTGAGAAAGAGGGCACCAACAGCGTGTGATAGCTGCAGGAGCAGGAAAACGAAATGTGATAATGTGAAGCCGGCATGTGGGAGTTGTGTTAGGACTGGAATTGAGTGCTATTATTCTGGGTTAGAGGAGAAGGAATTGAGCTTGTATGTTGATGCTCGTACTCCAACGGAATAGCTCAAGCTAACCACGGGGCCGGTCAGGTATGAATCCACGAGCTTGAGGATTCTGGAGGGGATTGAAAGACTCGAGAAACTTATGAAGAATCCACCTGCTCATCCACCCGTTCATCCCCCAGCTCCACGCTCTATCGTGCCCTCTCCGCTTCTCAGCACCGCCACTGCACACTCCACACCCGCTCACGTCGTCGACCGCGAGGATCAGGTCATTATCGACGAATTCACATCCAGCACGACCCCAACTGTAGCAGGATCCGGTCTTCTCCCAGCCACCGAACTCCGCGTCCCCTCCCGTCTCGATTCTGTCCTCGCCTGGCCAGTCTTTCCGCGCGACCACCCGAAATTAACCATTCCTGCGTCCACACGCACTGCCATTACTCCTCCAGCTTCATCCCCAGCACCACCGCAGACGACTCAGCGCCTTCATGACATCTACGTCATGCGCGTGCGGCCCAGTCACCCTATCAGTGACCTGGCCGTCCTGGAGCGCGCAATGCTTTCTGTCGCCAAATCTGGCTTCTTATGGGATCTCGACTCCTGCCTCGTTGCGTTAACATGCGCGCTCGGCGCTATATCCGAAAACTATGCCGACTATGTTCTCTTCGACCCGCCACGCAAATCATCGGGGGAGACAGAGCTCGCGCGGCACTATTGGAGTATGGCGCAGCAGCGCCTAGGACTGGCCATGAGCGAGGATAGTGAGCTTGCTGTACAGTGCCTATGTCTGTCCGGGTAGTAACTTATCGACTACTTGTTTGAGGCGAGATAGCGGTTCTAATGAATGGGTGTAGGTTTTGGTATCTGTACAATCTTGAGCCAATCTCCGCATATAAGGCTTTCCACACGGCCTGTGTCACCTGGCAAACGCTCCACAATGTAACAGCGAGTTCAGGTCCCTCGAGTTCCTGTGAGGCCACTGGAATGACCTATGAGCAGTACCTCAAGCAACGACTTTACTGGACCTGTCTCAAGGCCGAATGTGAGCTCCGCGCTGCCCTCTCTCTTCCAGTTCCTACGGGCTCGCAGATGGAGTACCCGCTCCACTTCCCGGCGCCACCAACAAGCTTTGAGCCGCAGCACTACACAGATGTCGAGAACCAGTCATGGTACTACTACACGGCCGAGATATTTCTTCGAAGACTGCACAACCGGATTGTGCACGAGGTCTCATCGTTTGAATGTGACCTGGACAACCCCCTCACCGTATCGAAGGCATTAAACCAGCAGCGCCTTGCTAGCCTGGTTACAATTACACGGGAGTTCGAGGCATATGTATCTCGCTGGCAGAGCAGCCTCCCGCCGAGTGTACATTTTCCGAATCCTTTCCCGCCGGTCGATATAATCCCGCTGGAAGACGAGTTTCAACAACACCTACGCAAGCGGTTCATAGAGTGCCATGAGTTGCTTTATAGGCCCTATATCAACTTGGCTCTAAACCATCTGCCGTGGCTAGATTCATTGTCTGACAGTCATCTACAATGGGAGGTGTCGCATTTTAGTTCGTTAGCATTGAGCTATGCAGTCTATAACCTAAGTACGGATCGAGGCGCAATGTGGTACCGTAGCCCTGGCGTGTGGTTTGACTGCAGAGCAAGGTTATGTGATACCCTGATACTGAGGGCAGCAGCAGTAAATGGGTTTCAAATGCAAATTGGGTGGGAGGAAGTTGTGGAGAAGGCGGAACGGGCGTTAGAGTTTTGGGCAGGCGTAGCGGGTAAAAGTGGGTTGGGGAGTGCGTGGGAGATTTGTAGGTGGTCAAGGGAGATTTGGGCGATAGGATCATGATGGGAGCAGTCATGAAAAGGGTACCTTTCTTATGTTTTAGTGATTTTGTGTTTGTTTTTGTTTTTCGGTTTTGTTTTATGATATTTATGGGTTTCGTTGAACTAAAAACTAGTTCTTCTGATGGTTTCGAACATTCCGGTGTTCTCCGATGAAATGGTATTAATGCCAAGCAATTGTGCTTGTAGGAAGATTATCATTACCGTCCATTATTTAACTACATGTATCCTATTGGATCTTGTCTCAAGATATTCACCCTCCCTGAGAATAAGTCCGATTGGTTGGAGCGCCATAGAATCGGTGGAAATCGTGGAACAAGGCGCTATCAATTACAAATATGTAGTGTCCAGAAGTAATATTCCCTATATCCGTAATATGCCCTACTCAAAGTAGAGAGCTAGAGCCTAGAGGTATCCACCTGCGAGACACACAGCCTCCACAGATCAAATTTTTTAACACACTCACGTGATCGCTCCCCAGGTCGCCAAGAACAAGCGCACACAATCCCATCTAGCCCCTGTTCTGTCAGCCAGGGACCCAGGATCAAACGCCCGATGCACAGACCACACCTTAACCCGCTAGGAAGTAATTTCCCATAAGACCATTAGTTCCCTGGATACCCCCGGCGTCCAATGTTCTACGAACATCTCGTTATCGAAGTAGACTCTGTACCGAGAGGTTTAAGCGAGGTGCAGTACAGGCTTTCACGACACCATGGATCCGTTTTGTTGATGAAGTTTGACTCTAGATAATCGAAGGAGCCTTGTTGATGGTTCCTGCATTAGCGAAAGCCATTTAAAGCGAAGATCTACATTTCCCTGCATCAATTAGATGCCAACCCTAGCCCTGATATTCGGCGGGATTTTTGTTTTTGTTTTTGTTTAATTCATTAATGTGATTCAGCGGGATGTGCCATATGGAATAGCTGTAGGCAACGATCGCCGAAGGGGAGCATTCACGCCCGGCGTTGGGGTACTGAGCTTGTTCAGATGGAGCCAATTATAGATTTCGGGGTAGCACTTCATCATGATTTGATAGTTAGTCCCAGGATGATGATCACCGGGGGGGATTTGCGGAATCCTCTCGGCTCCGTACCACAGAAGTGGAAACACCTCTGTAGTTAAGCTCTCCATCTCGGATTGCAAACCAGTTGTGGCAATTCAATGCTTCCTTCACGGACCAAGTCTTTCAACATGTATTATGACAACGAAAGCATGACAACTCTCGGTCGATTATTGTGAAAAGTTCAGACAAGCTTAAGGGGCTAGATGAAAGTCTCAGCGTGTGTTCCCAAACTCAAAAGCCACCTAGCTACATATCATCTTCAGGGATGAGCCGTACTTATTCCCCTGTTGAAGGCCATGGGATCAGATGTTCGATCTAGATCTTATAATACTAAAAAAGTGGCGCTAGTGATAACAGAGGCGATGATGATAATGTAGACGATGTAAAGAGAAGAGAGAGGACGGGTTGCTTCTCCTATGCCTTGAATACCAGACAGCTGCCAATAGGGAAGCTTTTATTTAGCGCGAGGTCCACTGCATGGGTATCTACTCTATAGATCTAAGGGACCCGCATTCAGGGACTTGTAATTGTGAGATGTACGCAATAATGTCAACAAAAATCCTAACTAGATGTAGGTTTGGCCCCGACCTTGCTTTGGCGCTGCTCAAACACTCTATACTGGGTTAGAAAAGAACTCCTGAGACTTGTTTTGAAGCAAGCTATAAAAAAAAGGCTATCATAAGTACAGGGCCTACATGAATGGTACAACAGTTTCTTGAAGCGATGAGCCCTATGTAGATAATTTGACTCCCGTTTAGACTTCAATGTTCGTCATGCCCGGTGCTGCCGGTAATCATAATTTTCAAAAATACATGTACTTAGGAGAAGGCGTTAGGAGGTCTATATTAGATCTCTTTACTTCATGACGATGCTTTAGAGGAAGCGTACGGTGACCTACCATATACATGCAGTTTAGATAAGTTCGAATTGAGATATGAAGGATGTGTATCCTGCTTAGTATTTCTCTAGATGACGAGGAGCTGATATTCGGGGAAATTCCATACTTCACCACGTCTTGTATTGACATCATCCTAAAGCCACTACTGAGGCCTGTCTAAGAGGGCGCTCAAAAATCTTAATGTGAGCGATGAAACCATGACCGTGTAGCGTAGTGGTTAGCGCGTCTGCTTTACACGCAGAAGGTCGCAGGTTCGAACCCTGCCACAGTCACTCGCAAGGTTTCTTTTTTACTTTTTGTTCTTAACTACAGTATCTTTTCTACTCAAAGCGTGTAAATGATGTAAGAGCATGTACAGGGTCTGCACCTTAAATACCGATCGATTGATTGGATCGAAATTATATGGGCGCCACGCATGCAATCAAAAGTGACCAATGGTTTTCAGAGTTACAACGGACTTAGCCACACAGTTTGTATGATAGAAAGAAGTCTAAAAAACCTTTACATATCCTCACTCAAAAAATCTAAACATTTAACCCCTCTATCTCTATTTCATTGCAAGAGCGCTGAGTATTGGGTTAGGACCACCAAAAGTTTGGAAATTTATATGTATCTAAAAATTGTGGTCGAACGCAATACTTATGTATAGTACATACTAGGACAGAAGTTTTGGTAATATACCCTTTTTACAGCGAAAATAGCCATGTTGGGCTGCCCGAAACAACCACCCAACCTCACCAAAAAAATTGTAACCCTTCAAGGGCAGTTGGAAATTGTCTCAAGATGGAGCTTGGAGAATTCTAGAATTTTGTGTCCCTTCTTCAGGCATGAGCCCTCCAATTTTTAAAGTGATGATTTGGGTGTTTCTGGTTTTGTATGGTGTCCCCATACAAATTTTGTGTTGCAACGGCAACCAAAAATTACCAAAACTTCTGTACCCCGACTGTACTTATAGCCTAACGTACGTTCTCCATTAAACAATGTTGCTGTTGGTTCTCTCATTAACCTTGTGAAGCTCGCACAGTAGTACATGTAGGAACAATAGCAGTAATAATAATCTTAGCCTGTGATATGTAGTGATAGGACGAACCGTGATGGAGTTAGGCAAAGCGTGTGAAACCATACCAATCTTGCAGTGCGAAATATGCCCACTTGCCCGAGCGGCCAGTATAATATTCTATCCTATCCTTGACACGGCTTCCCTTTTAAAAACATTCAGGCCGTATCCTTCACAGCTACATGTAACAAACGACTACACCTTGGGTCCAACGTTCCGCACCTCTCTGTTTTTAAGTGGGAACATGGATTATTGCCTTACTTGGTATTTAATCCCGCCCTTGAAGTTGTTCCTTTTTTTGTATAGTAGTAGGGATATGGACTAGAACAAGTTAATTACGCGTTAGAAGCACACTCTTCCTGTCGACATTTGCAACGCAGTCCTGCTGGTTTTGCTTAATCAATAAACCACTGGACAGGGTTTGCTATTAACCTATTAAAATGGCAGTGCCCTAGTTTCAATGGCAACTGATCCTTACACAGCGTCAATGGTCTCTCTAGGCTGAGGATTATTGGACGTTTCTTTAGTAAAGCTAGAGTTTATTACCGGGGTTTAAGTCTTTACGAAAGGTCTAATGACATTCAATACTTCTACAAATGGTCCAAAAGGTTACTGTCCATCCCTCAATACCCTGAAGAGAGCCCTCGCCGTCCCCACTACTCCCGTCTTACCTCTCAGCCCCACGAACCCCACTCCCAACACACCCGCCAGTACCACCCCACCGGCGATAGTATCCATCCAGAGTTTCTGTCTCCTTACTCTTTCTACAACTTCGCTATACCTCAGACTACTAAATGACACCATACTATACATTGTCCTAACACCTAACCAGGGGAAATACGCATATAGCATCTCTTCAACCCACTTCCTCGCAAGATAGGCCCGAGACGTCACAGACGCACGCATTTCTATGTAGTTGCGCATGGCCAGGTCGTTGATACAGTGACTATCCGTCTTCCTATGCTTGCTGTATGAGGCAAGAGCAGCAGCAAGATCACCAGGATGTAGAGCTAGATGGTCGAATAGCACGCGCACATCCTCGAGACCTGCGTTCATGCCCTGCCCGTAGAATGGGACCATCGCGTGTGCTGCATCACCAATGATGACAGCGCGGTCCTTGTAGTGGTACGGATCACATTTGACACTGATCAATGGCAGCCTGGGGTTGCGCATGAATTGGTCGAACAGGGCGTCTTCCCCAACAAGTGGGATGACATCCTCAAAGTTCTTCTTGAAGAAGGCAAGGTGTTTCTCACGAGACTCTCCGAGATCAGCGAAGAGAGATGGTGACATGAAGAGGGTGCAGGTAAACGTCTTGTCAGCGCTAGGGATGGCGATGAACATATACGTCTGTTTCGGCCAAATGTGGAGATGGTTTGGGGAGAGCTGAAATTCGCCTGTAGTTGGGTGGGGTGGGATGTGGTACTCTTGCCAAAGAGTGTCAATGTAGGTTTGCTCATAATACATCTGTACATTTTTCTGGAGGAGGCGACGAGTGGCAGAGTGAGCGCCATCAGCTCCAACTACAAGGTCGGTGTGGACTGTTACCGACTCCTTTGTTTTCCTGTGGAATGTCAGTCATGGGGGAGGGGTGGATGAAATGGACAGGGAATGAGGAGAGGGATGACAAACGTGTTCTCGAACTCTACCTCTCCCGCGTCCAAGTCCATTTTTCTCAGCCCATGGTTGAAAAACATCTTGACGTTCCCCCTCTCTGAGAGAGCATCCAGAATCTGGACGTTCAGCTTCCATCGGTCTGCAGACCTGATAAATCGTCCGTGGACATCATATCCCTGGCTCATTCCTTTATCGCTTGGTTTCCCCGAGTGAATCATGCGCCCGTGCATTGGAATTGTCTCCTCAAGGATCTTTTTCAGCAGGACTTCATTATCACCAACGTTCCGGAGACCATCGATACCGCGATCAGAGAGAGCAAGATTGATGGATTTGGAGAAATTGAGCGAGAGGTTATCGGGGAGACGCAAATCACCACGGAGCTCATAGAGTTCGACCTCCCAATTTGCGTGAGAGAAATAGAGAGCTGCGAGGGAGCCCACAGGGCCGGCGCCAATTACGGCAACTTTCTTGGACGAGGTTGACATTGTTGTATTATAGTTGCGCAGATAGTATGGAGAGAAGCTCTGTCAGGGAACTGCGAATGCTCAAGAGTTTAATTAAGCTCAGGCGACGTCGTTGTTGCGGGAAGTTCCGCACTCGCTCGGCTTGCTACGGCGATATCAAGGGGTCGTCGTACCGAATTTCACGTCATCAGTCGATTAAGTTAGACCCACGCGATCTCCAGCTATTTTCTATCATTGACATTGAGGTCAATGATCTGGATCAAGAATATTGCAATACCGCAAAATCTAATCGAACCGGACCGGAACATTGGGCTTTGGATTGGTCAAATACTTGTTGAGCCTCAATCCGACAGACCCAAAGCGTAGCTTTTGGTCGTATCGACCAATGAGTAAGTGGTATTCCAGCCTAGTCAGATTCGTTATTCCTGAGATTCTGCTGTATTGCAACATTGATAGTATTATCTAATAGTAGCAACACGGGTTTCTCAGTCTGCCTCGCTCCCTGCCCAATCATCCGGTGCCAAGAACCGCAAGAAGACTGGGCACGAGACAGGCAACAAGGAACTTCTCTCCAATAAGTTGTGTTACGCCACATCAGACATAATGCACTATCCGCCAACATAACTACAGGGCTCCCGGCCCTCAACACAACCGGTCATTGTTTTGTTCCTTCCAAAGAAATACAAGTGTGCGTAAATGAAAGTCACTGCTGACCCATATCCGACTGTTCAAAGTTAAGTTTCTGGCCGCCTGCCAACATAGAAGAAAAAACGAAGAGAAGGAACAAAACGGAGCAAAAATTAAGTACACACTAATAATCTGGATAGTCCAAATAAATTCTATATGCCAACTCCCAAGACGACGATGATGATGATGCCAACAAAATATTTGCGATGCAGGACACAAACCCAATAAACAACTTCCAAAAAAAGAAAAAAGAATAAAGAAAAAACTCCCCAAAAGAAACTACCATGGTGGGTGAAAATCCAGCACCAAAATTCCCGAGCCCTCTGGAGGATCATCAACATAGAGTCCCCACCACGTGTGGAACGTCAGATACCGGTCAAGCCACTTGACACAATACCAATAGTCGCAATGTACCTCGCCCTTCACCTGTAAGCCCCCGTCCTTATCAAACTTTCCGATCTGCAAGTCCCCCTCAGCCTGTTTCACCACTCCGCGTCCAGGGCTATTAACGATTCTCTTATCCGTGATTCTCCGTCTTGTAACCTGCTCATGTCGTACAATACCCTTCAGATTCTGCTCCTCTTTCCGTCGCTCCTCATACACCACCACATCAATTCCAATCTCCTCAGACCCCGTGTCGTAGCATATCACGCCGACGTCCAACGTCGAGAACAATATCTCTGCACTGCCCCTCAAGCCTATATCCCCAGCAATATGGTGCATGGGCGATGACGCACGATCTACCGCAACAATAGGGCTCTCATATCTCCTCTGCTCCACTGCAAACCCCGTCCCACCCCGCTCTGGAGCTATGCTCCAGGTGTTGAACAGCACTGCCTTCGGCGGCTTTTGTCGAGATGATAGCTGCATACCTGCCTCGCGGGGACCCGCAGGCACCACAGGATCTGAGAAATCGCAGAAGAATGTTTCAGTGATGTTAAAAACATCATGTCGATATGTAAAGTCCACAAATATATTCCTGGCCACATTCCGTTCACCAGAGGTGATATCTTCGGGGTAGATGAGGAATTTTCCAACAATCTTCCCGGACAGCGTATATATGGTGGCCAGTAAATCCAAGCGCACATCTGTCTCGCAATGGTCCCGCACAAGGATAAAATGCTTCAGCGGGCGGTCAACAACCATGACATCGTAGCTCAAGAATCTATACGCAACCACATCATTTCCGTTTTCCAATGCTATTTCGGCAGTTATAGCGCCAGTGAACATATCATGGATCACAAAATGCACGAGCGACCGGGCAGAGGTGTCAAGACCGTCGAAGCTAAGGATCGGTGTTCGTCGGAGGTAGGAGAGCTTGCCCTCGCTCCATTCGAGCTCACCTAAGATCGTCTGTTGAGGGTGCATACGATACTTCCACGCTAGCTCACCTGTACACAAGTCGATCACAATGAACCTTTCCTCCTCCATACTGTTAACATCCTCA